TTTTGATATTGAATGGACCAAAAATGATTTTTACTTCAAATCTTAATATAATTGTACGAAATGTAGTAATGTACACGTGTGTTCGTTTGTAGGATTTAGACAAAATTCTACTATTCATCCAAAATTTCCCCCCAAAAACATCAAATTAAACACCTATTTTTTTATTTTTTATATTATATTAAAAATCAATTTTACATTCAAAATATCATATCAACACTTATTTATATCACATTATATAACTATTCAAATTCAAATACTATTTAAATCCCTACTCAAAATTCAAACCCCCGAACAAACACAAATAGAAGCTTAAATGAATATGCTATATAATAAACTTGCCGTTATGCCCAAATCTTGCCACCCTCAATGCAAACTTGTTTATATAAATTATTAACATTATATAATAAAACAGTAAAATTTTAAAAATAGAATATAACTACGGTAAGGATAAAAATGAGTGAAATTGACCAAATATATATAAAACTGTAAACCCACTAATACACATAAAAAACTATAAGGTCTTGTTGCGTGGGTTTTATCATAAATTTTTAATATTTAGATTCTTATTTACCTTAAAAGAAATATTAAATCAAATAATTAATTTTTTATATTATACTATAAATTTATTTTACATTAAAAAATATCACATTAATACCTATTTATATCATATCAAATAATTATTCAAATTCACTTTTTAGTATTAAAATAAATTCAAATCCAAAATCTCAAACCCACAAACAAAATACACCCTAAAAATACATTACGTACATAAAAAATTCTAAAATTGTAAGGTCATGGTTCAAACCCCCGACGCTTCAGGTCATCTGCCACACATGGTTCGCCTACAGTGACTTTCTCGTCGGGCCTGGTTTGCAGGGTATTAGGTTCGGCCAGGGGTTTACCCAGTGCGCACCTTCGGGTAGCGACTGCGGATTCCCACATCATCCAAAAAAAAATTCTAAAATTCTGTAAATTCGAAAAATTCTACTCTATCTCAAATACATAATATATATAAATTAGTTAGAGATACCCCATTAGTTAATAAGCTTGCCATTATACCCAAATCTTGCTACCCACGTGAAACGTTGCAAACTTGTGCAATAAAATAAGCTTGCCATTACACCTAAATGTTGCTACTCACATGAAAAGTTGCAACTTTGCGCAATTAATTTCGAATTAGTTAGAGAGATTCTCAAAAAATAATAAGCTTACGCGCAAATCTTGCTACCCGTAATTAATTTCAAATTAATTAAAAATAAGTGAGAGAGATCCGTGGAGATATAATTATGAAATGTGTGGTTGTTTGGAAGTTTAGATTTTGGGTTTGAGATTTGAATGGTAAAAATTTTGAATTAAAATAATGGTATGATGTAATATTTTGAATGTAAAATTAATTTTTTATATAATTTAAAAATTAAAAACTAGATGTTTGATTTAATATCTTTCAAGAGAAAAAAATTGATGAATAGTAAAATTTTTGTAAAATCCAATAACTGTGAAAATAAAAATATTAACAAATAAATTTGATAATAACGGTCGAGTTAATAAAAATTTTCTCAAAATTGTTACACTCCGATAGTGCATCCGATAGACGATGCAATATTTTCAAAATAAAGTGAAATACGTTTTCGAATTAGATAGCATTATAATATCTTGGGCTCTCAAAAAATCATTTTGGAGACAAAAAAATGTCAATAGATTAGGTTCGACTTTGGAGCAAAACAGGTCTCATCAAGCAAACCATTCTCCAAGCGCAAATCGGACCCAAGCCTGTGCACGTTTTAGTTTTGCCATACCCTTAGCCACCCTCTTATGCTACCTTATATAATTTAGCTATATAGAAATGGGTAAATTATATAATACCCCCTTATATTTTAGTAAAAATATATAAAATACATGGTGTTTTATTTATTACGTGAGACTCGTTTGTGTTAATGTAAAATTTGTCCCAAACATTCTCTTTATCCAAAACTGATATTTGGTTCTAAATAAAGATTTAAATTGCACAAGTTTTATACAAATAAAAAATGTAAAATATCTTTAATAATTTTTTTGAATAAAATAAATAAATAAATAATTGATTTATTTATTTTTATAGTTTTTATAAAAATCAGATAACAATTTGTCTCAAAAACTATAAAATGAATGATTGATCAATTATTTATTTATTTGTTTCATTCAGAAAAGTTATTTAAGATATTTTTATTTTTTATTTGTATAAAACTTGCATAATTTAAGTTTTTATTTATAACCAAATATCAGTTTTGGATAAAGAGAGTGTTTCGGACAAACTTTACATTAACACCAAAATAATTATAAATTACACCTAAAAACTAAAAATTAATATTATACACACAAGATGAAATAAATACAATTATTAGAATAAATTAACATAAATAATACCAAAATTCGATATAAATAAATAATTAATTAAATAAATATAAGTTATAAAATATGACAAAATTAAGAGTTATCAAACTCCTCACACTTAACCTTTATTCGTCCTCGAATAAATTCAATTAATGAAATTAAACCAAGTATTTTCTAAATAAGAACTCAATATTGTCGGCAATATCAACGGTGGTGTGTAAGTGAATCTTAGCTAAAGTTGAGATCCTTAAGCCTTTTATGCATTATTGCTCATCTATAAAGACTCTAAATTATGTCTCCCGAAATATTTTCAAACTTAGGTATTCAGAGTAGCTTCTAAAAATGATGCGACGACTCAAAATTTTAAATAAACTGCCATAATAAATAATAAATTAAGAAACAAGGCGGCCCGGTAGACATTGCTATAGATAATAAATTAATTTCAACAGTTTTCACGTCGATTTTTTTTATTTTTTTTTTGCCAAGTCAAGTCGCATATAAAGATAATCGGCATCCTCCTCACACTATTCGTTCGTCAATCCTATTTTTAAGAAAACTTAATTCATCTCCTCCGCTAATAAGCGCAGCTAAATAGACGAAAGTTCTAAAAATTAGACTGAGTATGAAATTAATGAAACGAAGGGGATATCAACCAACTTTATCAAAATCCTGATTTATACTCATGTTCAAAAGAATTTCAATTATTGAATAGATTCAATTTTTCAAACTCAAATTAAACACAATGGAAATCAATTAATTCAAAAAAAGAACATATTCATAGCTAATTTTATTTTAAATAAATATAAATATTATAATATAATAATACAATATAATTTAACTTAAAATAAATTAGACAACAATAAATTACACAAAATAAAATAAGCATCATAAATTTATAAACATAATAAATAATAAATTAGGCCAAAATAATTTAATCTCATATAAATTAATTAGCACATATTAATAATTGTGGCTAAATGATATAAAAAGAAAAACTACCGTAGGCAAAATTACTACTACTTTAATGGAAATTAAACTAAACTAATTAGTTATATATAATTAATAATAATATATTAAGAAAGCAGGCAGACAAGCAGGCTTGACCAATTATCTAACAATCCTAAAATAGAACATATAATCTAATTATTTCAGCAATAAGGTATAAATAACATACCAGAGTAAAAATAAATCAACTACAAGCAAGGAAAAGATTATACATTATATATTATTAAAACACATTTATACCCCATTATCACTTTTGTCATCAATCTACCACCTTGGCAAAATATATCCTACATCTTTACAAAACTCGCCATTTACGTCATCCCGTCGCGCATGACAGTCACGTGACATGCAATTTCACGCGCACCCGGGACCTAGTAGCACGTGGCACTTTGTAAATGGCCTGTGTTTGAAATTTTAATAAATATTTAATTACTTAAATTTTATAAAATACAAATTGTTGATTGATCCCTGGATATTTGCAATTTAACCCAAAGGATTAAATTACAAATCTTATATATACAATATCAATCTCATTCATCGTCTTCTTCTTTGTCTTCAGCGTAATCAAATTTTTTTCCATTTTTTTTGGTGTTCCACCTCAATTCCTCCAAGCCAACTAACATCGCCGTCTTCCTTATTTTTCGTCGCGGGCATATCAAGGGAAAATACGCCGATGTTTCAAACCACCGCTGATTTCTCCGATGTTACTGGATCTGTCGAATGTCACCGCGGGGTGAAGGCAAAATTGAGGTGTTCTTGGACCAATGATAACCCAAGTCGTCGATTCCACTCTTGTAGATATTATAAGGTAATTCCAAATTTGTGTTTAATTAAGCATATATGAACATTCGTAGATGATAATTTAATTTAATTTTTTTTTTTAATTCAGAATGGTGGAGGGGGATGTGGTTACTTCCAGTGGGAAGACCCTCCAATTTGTCGACGGAGTAAGGTCGTTATTCCTGGGCTATTGAAGAAATTAGATGCAAAAGAGAAGGAGATTGTGCTTCTCAGAAATAAAAATAACAGAGGGCTCTGTGTTGCATATTCAGTTAGTATTGTTGTTGTTGGAATGGTATTCATCGTCTACCTACTGCGTAACAATGGTGCGAAAGGTTGCCCAGGTGTTTTGATGATCGAGTAACATGCTTTGTTGATGGATTGATTTATATTACAGTTGATGGATGGTAGAACGAAAAGAATGTATTTGTATGGAATCCCAAGAGCCGTTAATGTTCGGAGCATGTGGAATTCTATTTTATTTTGTTGTATGTTGTGGACATATCTTTATGTGGAAGTATAAGTCTATTTTATTTTGTTGTATGTTGTGAACATATATTTATGTGGAAGTGTATTTTTACATATTTTGTGTTATGTAATTAAACTTCAATTATATTAATACGACTTGTGCATTGCTACAATACAACATGTGCATTCCTACACACATTTGCATCACTACAATACAACGTGTGCTTTCCTACACACCTGTGCATTCCTTCAATAAAAATTAAATCATAACGTATGCATAACGTGTGCATTACTACGTATAATTGAAAAGAGCTAGCACAATATCATTCCACAAACTGAAATTGTCCACCAATTCACAAAAGATGTGCTATCCTTAACATAATTCAAAACATGTAGCACAACACATTGCAACAAAAATGAGTTATGTCATCCAAAACATAGTTCAGAAACAAGCACTGCAATGTAGAATTCTTGTCATTACTACAAATTCACATTTGTCTCTGTCGAAAGGACTATACTGAGCTCATCCATGCTCACGAACCGCTGCCCTTGATCCATAGCTTGCCCAACTTGCGATCGAGTCGATGGCCGTCTTGTAAACATTGGTTGTTTACCACGTTTTGGGACCTTATCCACATGTGGTGGTTGTGGTTCTGGTGTTGAGACAGTTGGGAGGATGCAGGTTGCTCCCTTGTCGTGCAGTTGCTCCCACATAGATGGTCCCTACACAATCATTGGGTAATTAGCAATGTTAGAGTGTAAAAATTTATTAATAAATGTATATACCTGCTGGCTTTGAGTCCCTGTTGTCCCTGTTGCAGCCTCCAAGGCTTTTTCCTTTTGTGGCCTGCCTCGACGTTTTGGTTGAGTCGTAATCATGGATTCTTGTGTGGGAATTACCTCAGGTTGACTAACTGGAACAGTGGTGCTTGATCTGACGGCATTCTTTGCTGGAGCTTTTTGAAATCGCGTCTTCGAATAATGAAATATAGATTCAAACTTACTTTGTAAGAGAAATGATATATATTATGTATTGTGTTAGGTTGTACTTACAGACATCCGTCGTGGCCTATGTTGTACCGATGTTGTCGTAGGGTCTTGTCCAGCCACCTATATGTACAAAGAAGAGTCAATGCATGATTGTATATCACAAATATAATACAATAACTACACACTGCTATAGTTCGTACCAGTGGTGATGATTCTTCAAGCCGACGGTTTTGAACTGACTGTGGACATTTTCTAACATTGTGTCCAGAGTTTCCACATCATCTGCAACGAACAGTCATTTGATTTTTCTTTAACATTAAAGTCCTAGCCTTCTTTTTTGTTTTTCTCACAGGTTCATCCCGTTCCCTTCGCCTGGATGAGGTAGGTCTCCCAACCGACCTCATTTCTGTTGGGGGTTCAGGTGGATTAAAACCTGTTACCTCCCAAAACAAGTCACTGGTGACAGCCATTATGGCAGGAGCATAGACCTTAATGTATGTCTCCACGGAGTAGTACTCATCGATGTAGTCTTGAATTTCTTCTCGTTGGTTAGAGATGGCAGAGATGGCATGTTTGCAAGGAATTCCACTTAGCTGCCATTGTCTGCATGTGCAAGTTCTTTCCCGAAGATTAATAGCATGTTGGCTCCCATCGAAGCAAGATATCTCATAATGCGTATTATCAGACTTGATAGGAATGCAGTCAGATACCCTCCGAACATTTCCCTCCAGCAACTTCAATGCATTTGGACAGAACCGCAAGTTTTTCCATTTACACGCAGCCATATCTCTGTTCGTTTGCAGCATTTTCATGAGATATTGTCTTATTGACTCCAACATCGACAAAATCGGTTGCTCTCGTGCATCTAGGATCGCACTATTAAATCTTTCACACACATTGTTTAACAATATGTCACACTTTGAATAAACTTTGAAGTGACTCCGACTCCACTGGGCTACAGGCTTATCGCCAAACCATTTGTGTGCCTCACTGTCAAGATCTTTCAACTCATCCATTCGACGACGAAATTCCCCCGGCGTAGAAGGCAAAGCAGCACGCCAAACTGTATTTTTCAGTGCAGTTCCTCTAAACCCGGCATTAAAAAAGTTGTTATGCATGTGTCTAACACAAAATATGTGATAATATCCTGGGAATACAACATCGAACGCTTGTATCAGCCCTTTTTGCTTATCAGACATGAATGTAACCTGTTTGTCACCCCCGATTCTTAAATCTTTCTTCAACAAAGTCAAGAACCATCTCCATGTTTCACCATTCTCTCTACTAACCACTGCAAAGGCAATTGGGAACAAATTATTATTCGGATCAATTCCAACAGCGGTAAGTAAGACACCAGCGTAAATACCCTTCAAGTGGCATCCATCCACACCAATTATGGCTCTGCAACCAACACTAAATCCTTTTTTTAAAGCTCCATAACACACATAAATACGGTCAAAAATAGATTCTTCATCATCAGTCTCAACATCTAACACAATTGTGGTCCCTGGATTACTCTTTCTTAACTCATGTGCGTAATCCCAAAGACGACTGTATTGGTAAACGAGATCTCCACTTATCCTTTCCAAAGCACGCCTCTTTGCCCTATAGGCCTGATCTTTTGACACACTCACGTTTAATTCTCTCATTATCTCTTTCCTAAAACCTCGTACCTCGCGCTTCGGATCACATTTAAATTTATGAGCAAATGTTTCACTCAACCAAGAAGTCTTAACATTCGCAACATTCAAAGAAGGAAGAGATGACTCCGAATGCTTAGGATGCAATAGACTTACTTGGAAAGCAGTGTCATCCTTCACCTTCATTGCATTGATTTTGCACTCACAATTTGGTTCTTTGCACCTCGCATACAACCGGCGCTTGTCAATCTTTGTAAAAGCCACACTTCTTCTTTCTGCAATTGCATGAGATTGTATTGCTCTTTTAACCTCGTCCCTCGTTGCAAATATCATCCCTATATCAAACCTCGGTGCTTACACATCGAGTGGATTGAACTTTGGAAAAGTCGTGCTCACGCCCCGCCTACGCACAGTCCCCTCATCCTCTGAGTCAAGTAACTCCTCCCACTCCTCATCACTTCCAACTACCAGATTCTCCTCTGGTGTATCCTCTTCATCATTCTCAGCCCCTAATCCTTCATTCCCAACGTCAAATTTACAAGTGTTTTGCTGCCCGCTCCCTCCTACACTAACCCCACAATCCGCTACCTCTTCAACAACTACTTCATTAGTCATATCTTGGCCTATATTGTAATAATCTAAACCTGGAAATTCATCTCCTTCACCCTCATCATCACAGTCCATATCCACAAACTCATCAAATAAGTCATCATCACTACCATGACTTCCACTGCCCACTGTAAAGTCACTATCCTTCCCATCATCATCTAAACTGGGGAATTCATCTCCTTCACCCTCAATAGTCATCCCTCCTAAGTTTCCAAGCTCGCCCTCTCCCAACACTGTCTCCCCAACTCCAAGAACAGATCCTTCACCCTTATCATCACAATCCATATTCACAAACTCCTCAAATATGTCATCATCACTACCGTTACTTCCACTGCCCACTATAAAGTCACTATCCTTCCCATCATAATCTAAACTGGGGAATTCATCTCCTTCACCCTCAATAGTCATCCCTCCCAAATTTCCAAGCTCGCTCTCTCTCAACACTGTCTCCCCAACTCCAGGAACAGATTCATCCCCAAGATCATCACAGTCCATATCCACAAACTCCTCAAATATATCATCATCACTACCGTTACTTTCACTACCCATTGTAAAGTCACTATCCTCACTATTTTCATCATCATCAAAACCAATCCCATTACAACCAAGATCTACGTAAATATCTAATTTTCTACTAATTAAAGATTCATAAGCTGCATCTTGGAACTCCTCATCACTCTCTAATAGCTTTAAATTGTTACCAATTAGAGTATAATACTTACTATACTCCGAAACGTTAATCCCAGTATTTCTCCCAAACAACTCCGTCAAGTCCTTAGTAAGTGTTCCAGCTAGCACGAAATCAAAATTCTTGATGGATCCCCAACTTACTTTTCTATTGGAGTGTGGTACAAGACTCCATCGAAATGTAAGCACACTGTCAAATGTGTGCTTTCGAGTTCTGCATAACACAAAAATTAGCATGAAACTTTCATATGACAATGGAGTGGGGGACCAAATTTGTATCAAATCGACGGAATCAAGGAATGGGGGACCAAAATAGAACAATAAAATATTTCTAATGTAGGACCATGGTTTGAATCGAAACATTTGGAGTTTTTCAGTAACGGTACCCCACAAGAAGAATATTATATGACATTAAAGCGAAAAATACTTACCATATAAAGGATGTGCCCCAAAGTCGATTCTTTTTCCCTCAATCTTGCCTTTGCCCTTATCCTCGTCGTTACTCATATCATCAAGAACAAAAAAAAAAAAAGCACGGGAATGAAGCTATGTTTGTTCCTCCGACAACAAAAGTCTCGAAGTCAGACCTTTTTTTGGAAGATTGGCGAGCAAGATAAACTCTCCAGATGAATGCAATCGATTTTGGATAAACTTCCTCCACCTGAATGCGATTGATTTTCAGAAGTCCACCATCAATGAGTTAGGCAGGGGTTTTGTAATGAGTTTGCAATTTGATCCCCTGTGTGAAATTGCAATTTAATCCTATTAAATTGCAATTTCACACAGGGGATCAAATTGCAAATTTAATTTTTATATATATATAATTTAATATCTTAATATAATCACCTAATCAAACAATGCCGTGTGGATTTCGTACACGAGAGCGCGTGGTTCAACTGCCATGTGACAATGACGCGTGACGGGAGGACGTAAATGGCGAGTTTTGTAAAAGGTGCGGGATATATTTTGCCAGGGTGATAGATTGAAGACAAAAGTGATTATCGGGTATAGGTGCGGGATATTTATTTCAATTTACCCTTAAAACAACGTTAGCCCATAATAATCTTAAATGGCCACACAACTAGAACCGCAGCAATTTGTTTGGGCTTAATTTCGAAAAGCTGAATCTTGCAATAAACCGGGATCACCTTTATTTAGTTAATCTAGATTCCATTACAAATCTAATTTACTAAGTAATAATTTATTGAGGATTTCTATTATATGGGCAAAATACATAACAATCTGGACATAATTATAATGATAGTTGCAGACATTGGTTAACAAACACTCATATGCGGAAGAATGAAAACTTATCTGCCGTACAACAACCAATACTCTGATGAAAAATTGAAGTGCAGCCTACTAAACTAAGAGGCTAAACTATACTAACTACAGAATCCACTTAATAAGACTCAATAGCAACAACAACAGCAACAATTTACTAAGAAACTACATGCTAAGCTAATGCAATCATCAAGTATGTATCAACTACTTAAGCTATGAATAGACCTAAAGCTAAAAACTAACGTTAAAGTTTACAAATTCGATTAGTATTGGTAAACTAAACAACAGACAAGATTAATCATTATAGCGCCATATATCAACTGATCCGTCTAACAACTTCAATAATTTATTGAATTACACCTAACTAAAGACACAACATAATTGGGGGACAACAATAACTAACTAGCAGCGACTGAGAATTAATCTTAATCTCACTAATAAACTAATTGACTTTATGCTAAATTGAGATGAATTGATTCTACATCAACACAAAGCTAATTATCTAATTCTGACACTAACGAATAAACCAAACCTAAGGATTGAACTATGACAAATTACTAACAATAAGCTGAAACATGTTACCACAGAGCTGATTCTATACTACTAATCTGAATTTATTCTAAATCAACTAGATTTACAACTATTAATTTATATGAGAAGCAATTATTCTAGAAACCAACAAATTAGCAATCAATAAATAAGTCGGCATAAATAATCGATAAGGGAATCAAGAACTTCCCTGATTCATGTCTTGCAGCCAGATTTTTTTTAAAAATTTTTGGTGGTGCCGATGACTTCCCTCCTCACACTTGAATTGTTGTTCGCCCTCGAACAACCTTGAGTAAGCTCGGGAGGGACTGCAATCAAAACAAACATTATTTTCAGCAGCGAAAGATGAGATATAGTCACATTATTTGTCAAAGAATTCAAGAGATAAAAGACAATAAAACTCCTTTTTCAAAGTTACATAAGTCTTCTTGCTTCGGAATTTTCAAAGCAGCCTCCTCCTCAGCGTCAATTCACCACGGAATGAATCTGAAAATTTGAGATTTTGCAACCACCAGCAGCTGTTGTATGCAGATTTTTATCAAATGCCCTCAATTATCAATCCTCAAATCAAATCAATCCAACACAGCCTGCAATCAGCCCTCGGAGGTTGTTTGTGTCTTGTCTAAATTATCGATTAATCCTAAAATCATCATAAGAAATAAACTCACAACTTATCTTACTCAAATCTCCTAGACAGTTCGCAATTCACCAATCATATACCAACTATGTATACAAATTCGACAACTAAGTCCAATCTAAACTAAATCCAAATTCCAACATAATTTTAATCCTAATCACAACTACAATAAACATCAGCAGGATGACATAATCCAATAAGGAATTAAAGGCACAATCTAATCCCAAAACAGCCCTCCAAAATTTCAGATTATTAGTATTATGTTTGAAATTAAGAAATTCGATGAAAATAGATAAGAGAATGTGAAATTGAGTAATACAACCTTTTCTCGATGTTTACCATCTCTATGTGGAAGGAATAATGGAGGATTTAAAAGCTGCTGGAAATGGGGAAGGTGACGGGCGACTTCATCATCGCGGTGACGGAAAAGAAATTACGGTGGATGAATTGTGGGATTACAGTGAAGGATTAGGGCTGGAATTACGGCTATTGATTCGAAATCTGAAATCTCTCTCGCCCAGGACTATGATTTGGGAATTTTCTTTGTAGACGCCATCGAACGAAATGAACTTTTGTCCAAAATAAAGAAGAATAAATTCATAGCTTCGCTTGCAGGAGGGGTTGGTCTGCGCCACTTTACATACAGTCGCTTGCCTGAAATTGGCTTCGCTTGCGGACCGCTCACCTTTCCTGCTTGTTTTCGCCGCTTGGCTGACGAAGGAATTTAGAGAATCGGGCAAGCGGCGACCCCATGGCTTCAGCGGTGGTTTCCTACGGCTAGGAGAAGACATCAGCTTCACATCTCTAGTAGCAACGGCGTGTAGAGAGGGCTTCGAGTGACCACTTGCTTGCGGAGTTCACAAGAACAGACGTCCGCTTCAATTTTTATCATACAAGAGGGAACGAGCGGGGATCATCGACTAAAGTCCTGAATGAACAGAAAATTATTACTAATATTATTTATTTATTATTATTATATATAGAAGAGAAATAACACAGAGCAGCCGACGGGCGAGGCGCTGCTGCAGATTTTTTTTTTTTGAATTTTTTTTATTTTCTTCGAAAGATACATTGTCGTGCATGTTTGATCCTTGAAGGATATTGCACTCTCGAAACCTACAAAGCATACCGCCGATGGATTAGATGTTCAAAATAAAATAAAATAAAATATTAAAATTAAATTAGCATTAAACTCAATATTTTTCAATTAAAACAAAGATACTAGGCTTATTCCCCGACAACAGCGCCAAAATTTGATCGAAGATTTTTGAAGATTTAAAATATCTTTTGAGATACAAAAAAAGATATATGTATAAAATGAAAATAGTGTCATGCGTGTTTTTGTAGTAACTCCAAAAACTTCATCAAAAATAAAAAATCTCTTTAACCGGTGAATGTACGGGTCGAACTCAGGGAATATGCAAATATCCTATATTTAATTAGAAAAAAGTGCAATGAGTTAATTCAATCGAAGAACTGAAAAGATAAATTGCAGAAAATAAATCTAACTAAAAAGCAATAAAATATACGTATCTCGAAAAGGATGAAGCGTGGCGTTTGTGTCTGACTTTTGCGTTTCTTAATGGCTAGATTTCCATGGATGAAATGAGCAGGATGACAATGGCGTGATAGCGAAAAATATATGAATAATTGCGGAGCGGCTCTGAGGAATGAATGTGATCGCATTTGCTTGCTTAAGCCGATTCTCGACTCGGTTGGTACTTGACCTTAAGGGATTTACAACGAGGCTTCAGCGACACCCGGCGAAGAAAATTATAAGCAAGAAACTCTACTGTCACTAGAATTTTTGTGACCCAATAGACCATCGCCTATGTCACACGAATTATTCTTCCAACCGTTCCGCTAGTGGCTCTACCCCTTTGATACTTCTCTTTAATCGGAATTGAATTCAGAACAACAACTAAGCAGGTCGACAAGGCTCCCATGTACTTAGCTACGTTGAACTACCCAGAATCTGTTTGTAACACGAAACAGGGCTGAAATAGTCGATTCTTCTATCGCCCTTCCGCAACCTTGTTGAAATCCAACTTGAACAATTCAAATCGAACATGGAATTTTTGGGTGACGGTGAGGTGGAGAAATATGATAGGAATTTTACTAGCTAAAATAAAATGCTGAAATTAAAAGAAAATGAGGAGAAAATCAGTTTGCTCGCGATACAAAACCGAAAATCTTATTGGGAGAAAATAAATGGAAAAAATGGAGTGTATGGAATGTATATTATTGTGTATATATGGTGTGTATGGGTGTAATTAGAGAAGATATTTATAGGGGGAAAAGCTTCTAGAAGCTTCGCGGTTACAACCGCCCATAAATAACTACTTCTAAAAATAACTACTAACTACCTCTAAAAATAACCATAAATAAATACCTCTAAAAATAACTACTAACTAACTCTAAAAATAGCTACTAACTACCTCTAAAAATAACCATAAATAATTATCTCTAAAAATAGCAACTAATATAACTACTAATAACTTACTAAAACCTACCTATTTATTTTAGAAGGTTTTAGAATAAATATTACACAAAAATAGCCAAAAATTGGCTAAGTGATGATGCAGGAATTAAATATGGGAGCTGGGAGAGTGCAGGAATAAATGCAAGAACTGAGGGAGGTTGGACAGATATAATGTAGCCGCCGCTTGTTTTCCGTATAGCCGTCATCGCTCACTTTCATGCAGAGATTTCCGATCTTGAAGCTATTTTTTTTTTCTCTTTTTAAAGCCAATTTTGAACTCCTAAACCAGTTTTCAAGCATTATTTCACCTTTATAAATAATAAACACCTTATAAATAATTACTTAAATAAATAATAAATAAAATTAATTTAGCCAAAATTAAATACTTAAATAGCATATAAATAATGCTTCAAAATATAATTCAAGAAACACATCGGTTTATTTAAATTATACACTAAAATAATTATAAATAATGCTTAAAAATATAATTCAAGAAACACATCGGTTAATTTAAATTATACACCACAATAATTATAAATTACACCTAAAAACTAATAAATTAATATTATACACACAAGATGAAATAAATACAATTATTAGAGTAAATTAACATAAATAATTTCAAAATTAGACATAAATAAATAAATAATTAAATAAATATAAGTTATAAAATATGGCAAAATCAAGAGTTATCGCTAGTAAATTTTATAAAGTATTTCGATCAACTGTGGATAAGGATGGGATCACTTGGAGGAAGGTTTCAAGAGCCACGAAGGATTGGTATTGGCAAGAATTTAAGGTATATAGTTATAGTTTTTAATATAATGTAATTGTACTTCATTACTTGTGAACATTAAATTATTTGCACCTCACATTAAAATATAGAAATATGATGTTTGAGACTCTTCCGTGGATGGTCGAGTCAAAGAAGCATTCAATACCAAGGCGCGGCAAGCATATGGTAGTTGGTTAAATGATATTAGATGCGGTTGGGGAAGAAATCCAGAAGAGTATATTGATGAGACGATATTGGTTGAATGGAGGAGACTTTGGCCATCTGATGATGAAGGAAAACAAAAATAAGAGATAGCAAAAAAGAATAGGTGTAGAGGGAATATAACTGGTCCTATTAAGTTGACGCACACAGGCGGCTCACAATCTTTTATGGAGTCAGCCCATATACTAGTATTTATTTATTTGTTAACATTGACTAATATTTCTTAAATTTAGTTATTAATAATATTTATCTGTTGCAAACATTTAGGGGATGAATAAGGTTGAGACCTATACATGGACCCATACTAAAGGTCACAACCATCATGAGTAAACTAACCTGAAAGCATCTAAAGTAGCTGTGAGTTGAAATATGATACCGAGTAAATAAATTATTGTTATTAGATGAATTTTATTAGTTGAATAGCTAGTCATATTTGTAAATGCATATTCATCTATTTTAGGTGTGTTTGGTTGGTGATGACTTAGATTTTTGTTGAGTGTTACTATTATGAATGTTGGGATATGTTTATCCTTAGGTTGATTAGTGGATTAAGTTGAATAGTTAGGCCTAAGTGAAATATGGTACTGAGTAAATAAATTATTGTTGTTATATGGAGTTTATTAGTTGAGTAGCTAGTTATTTTTGTAAATGCATATGCATCTATTTTAGGTGTGTTTGCTTGGTGATGACTTATATTTTTTTTGTTGAGTCTTATTATTATGAATGTTGGGATATGTTTATCCTTAGGTTGATTAGTGTGTTAAGTTGGATGGTTAGGCCTAAGTGAAACATGGTACTGAGTAAATAAATTATTGTTAATAGATCGATTTTATTAGTTGAGTAGCTAGTCATTTTTGTAAATGCATATATATCTATTTTAGGTGTGTGTGGTTGGTGATGACTTAGATTTTTCTTGAATGTGATTATTTTAAATATTGGGATATGTTTATCCTTACGTCGATTAGTGGGTTAAGTTGGATGGTTAGGCCTAAGTGAAACATAGTACCGAGTAAATAAATTATAATTATTAGTTGGATTTTATTAGTTGAGTGTGATTATTTAACAAAATGTGTATGTATCTATTTTAGGTGTGTTTGCTTGGTGATTTTGTTTGAAAAAGTAATATGGTATTCAATTAAATACTTTCAGGATAAGGTAAATGTTGTTGTAGAACAACTCACTCAACAGGGCAATACGTCAAATAATTCAGATGATGTGTTTCTTACCATAGTACCACGGGATAAAAGGGATCGCATTCATGGATTAGGATCATTAGCTGACACTGTTCCTTATCGACCATCATCCTCGATCCGTGATGGTTGTACTCCGGGCACATCAATCCTTGAGACACGATTGACAAAGATGGAGTACGAGCTAGGTGAGGTGAGGAAAGTGCTTAAGGAAAGATCTAGTCAGTGAGAACTCATGCAACAACGTGTTACAAATATGGAGAACCAACAACGAGCCATATATGATCTTACTTTGAAGATCATGGAGTAACTACGACGTATGGGACCACTCATTCACAGACGCGATCCGAATTCAGATGGTGGTAGTGCTCCGGTATCATGATGTTTTATCTTTACCGATTTGTTAGTTATGAATTTACGTATTTTTGTATGATATTTGTTAACTTTTACATTTGTTTTATATTTGTTAACTTTTATATTTGTATGATATTTGGTAATGACAGTGCTAATACTAAATATATTTTTTTTATATTATAATATGTGGTTCATTAGACTCATTTATATTTGAATTAATGTCAGCTATATAGATTTTTGGAAAAAGGGACAAAAAAAATCAAAATAATTAAATATGAATTTTGCGACGGAATTAGCAACAAAATTATTCTCTTGGAATGTACACTAAATTTTTTTACAAAATTAGTAACAAATATATTCTTTTGTAATGTTGTGACGGAATTCGCAATAGATTAATTACATTGCAATGTTGCGACGGAATTTCTATTGTTGCTTTCATTTCAGTGTTGCGATGGAATTTGAAATAGATTAGTTGTATTGCAATGTTGAGACGGAATTTCGATTGCGCTTCCATTCAATGTTGCGACGGAATTTCCATTGCTGCTTCCATTTCAATTTTCTGTGATGGAATCCAGCTTCGTCGTTTGGGAAATGCAACCAATTATTTGCGACGGTTTTCATATGCAGTTGCGACGGAATAATTCCATCGTAATTTGTAATTTTTTTTTTAGTGCCCCTCGGATTCAACTTATTGATCATGCAAGTCTCCCGAAAGAACAAATATATCATAGTATCATCATTGATAGAAAAATAAGGCAGATAAATCCATTTTAAAAGCTTATAAATTATGTTTATTTCGTTTTGGCTGCAAGAGGGACCGTAGAAGTGAAATAATTTTTTTTTATTTACGCTCATGCTATGAAAGGTGAAAATTTAGCATATTGGAGTATTGTTATAAGTGAGGAGATTAAATTTCTATACAAAACTCCGTCTCGATGATTAATGAAATCGCAAAAGATCAAAAAATTGTTGGTCGAAAAAAAAGGATATTAAGCCAATAATAAAAATCACAACAGCCATTGATGAAGAAATAAGCTAATTGAAAAATAAATAGTGATAAGGTGCAGCCGTTAGATGCACAATCAAGAAATTTGTCATGAAAAGGATGGTCGAATAATGTGGGGTGAATTCGTAATCGTGAGGTTATAGGTTCATATTCGAATAGTTCTCTCGTCACAAAAAATAAAATAAAATAAAATAAAAAAATTAGTGTTTGAAGCTTGTTGTTCTGCTGGGGAGACTGTTTTGGCATTGCTTGTTTGGTTGATTTTTTGGTTTCATTGGAATCAAGAAAAATTCTTGCTTCTATTATTATTATTATTAATATTTCTTTTGATTGTGTGCTTTGTATTTTGAATTATTGCTGTTTTATCTATAGATGCAGAAATTTATTTCAAATTATATAATTATTTTAAACTTTTTGCATTAGGTTTGAATTAAAAATTTATACATGTTGCGGGTGAAATTTTACAATATTTCAAATGGATAATATTTAGACACACCCTAATAAATATTGTAGAGCAAATAATTGAAAAGTAAAAGCGCGTCACAACTCAACTAAATTATTATTGTTATTTTGTTTTTTCTTTTGATAACACTCAATTAAATTAATTTTGGAAGCACAACTCGCAGCACTTCTGCATTAATATTCTCCAAACGAAACTACTGTGAAAAAAAACATTAAACAATAAGAAATAAAAATCCAACGAAACTAGTCTGACCACTCTCCTCTTGTGCTCCTACGTCTGTCTACGCGTCTGTTTCTTCTACCTCAGTTTTGTTGCAATCCCAAAATTCGGGTCGTCCACCCGGAGAATAAATTTTTTTATAATAAAAATAAATAAAAATTTAAATATATAGATACATTGAATATAATATAAATTTATAATTAAATTATATAATATAAATTTTATCAATTAAATTTAGTTCATAATTTATACTCTTTCAGTGCAGCTACAAAATATACATATTTCTATTTTGAGATGTTTAATTACAAAGTAATTATTTTATAAATACCTCACTTTTTTTTCACAAATACCCTTACTTTATATCACATCATTACTTTTATAAAAAAAAAAAAAAAAAAAAAAGCAAGGGCAAATATATCATTACGCTACTTTTACCTATCAACTATAATTAAAATATTATTATTTCCAAAAATAAATATATACTTTATCCGGATGAAGTATTATTTTATTTATTATCAATCAAATCAATACACTCAAAATTCCTGAAACCCCAACCAAATATAAAAAAAAAATATATATATATATATATCAAAATTCAATCTCATCTTGAACTTAAAAATAAAAACCAAATTCAAATCCAAATTCATCTAACCCGTTAAAAGAAACATGTTCCAAGGTCATAAGCACGTACATACATATACTCCTTCAAAATTCCCTTTTAGCTGCAAGAAAACGACAGAACGAGATTACTAAAAGACAAGAATTTTCGAATCTGGAGTCAACCCATTGTCTTGGTCTTATTTCTTGTCATTCAGACAAGTGGCCCTCCAACTTGCCTGAGGAATCTTCCGGTCTGGTGCTCGATCTCCGGTTCGCATTCATCACTCGTCGTTGTGAGAATGGTGGCTTTGATTTCTTCGACGATGGCTGAAGCTGAACTTTTCAACACAGTAATATACTTTGAGACTCATTCCCATATACCTATATATATACACACTCCAAATCAAATTAAAGCATCGTCTAATCCTACATTCTCTGCACTCGAATTCATGCTTTCACCATGGCTGCACTTGCTATCAGCTCCGCACAGCTCCTGCTGCAGATCGTCATTCCTTTGCTGGAGCACCTCGACATCGGGAAGAAGGTGAAGCCCGACATCGACATCATGACGAGCTGGCTGGGCACGACCAGGGCCTTCATCGAAGAATACGATGGCCGTGAAGATCAGGGCAGGATGCTCCAAGATTACACCAACAAAGTTCGAGAGATCGTTTACGACATCGAAGATGTTCTCGACCAGTTCGTCCGCCACACGCCGCCCTATTTCTTTCACCAAAGCCACTTCACTCGGAAGGCTCGCCGAATAGCACACAACGTCAAGCACAGTTTCCCGCTCTACGGAATCTCCGACGACATTGCCGGAATCATGAGACGCATCGACCACCTCCGATCCCCGTCCCTAGCATTCTCCGAAGCCTCTTCCAGCTCAAGACCGCCGTCGCCGCGGCGGACGAGTTCCAGTTACGGTGTTGGGCACCATGTTATGAGCCCTCTCGATCTCCTCGACCGCGAAATGGTTGGGTATGAACAGCATAAATCCGATTTGATTCGTCTGTTGTCGGCCGACTCCCCGGCGGTAGTGAAGCTGGCCGTGGTGGGTCCTAGTGGCTCCGGGAAGACAACATTCGTCAAAAACGTTTACTGGAAGAACGAAATTAGGGCAAGATTCGATTGCCATGCTTGGGTTCACGTGGGGCGACGCCATGTCGTCGGAGATATCTTCGACAGTTTGGTGCGGCAGTTTGGGCTGTGGGATGATTCTCTCCACAGTGATCTCAACCACTCACGTAAGCTCGAGAAGCTTCGAAATTTCCTACGTGGGAAGAAGTACCTCGTCGTTCTCGACGATCTCTGGCGAGAGATCGATCAGAGCTACATTGAGAATGTATCGGTGGGCAGCAGAGTGATCGTGACGACCACCATCTCAAGCATCGCCTCCGCCATTGCATCTTCCCCGAACAGAATACTAAAATTGAAAGGCTTAGATTGGCTGGACGGATGGAGACTCTTCTGCAAAAGGGCCTTCCCCGACACCAATGGCGAATGCCCTCCGGAGTTGAAGGATTGCTCCAACAGAATCGTCGAGCTGTGCGAGAGACTTCCGAGTACTATCAAGGCCGTCGGAGATGCACTCGCCCACCGGAGAAGGCTCCCCGGTGAATGGGAGATGTTCCTCAAGAATCTTGGCTCCAACATGAAAAATTCATCCACCTTGAATGTTGTCCACAATGCTCTCTCGCAGCGCTACATGGATCTCCCCGGGGATCTCAAGTGTTGTTTCTTGTACTTTAGTGTCTTCCCGGAGGACTCTTCTATAGAGCGTGGGAGGCTGACTCGCCTATGGGTTGCCGAGGGCTTCGCAAGGACAACTTCTACGCAAACAGCCGAGGAGGTTGCCGATGATTATCTCAATGAACTGATTCACAGAAATCTGATTGATGTATCCCGATTGGATTTGGATGACCGCCCCAGAAACTTCCGAGTCCCTAGCCATGTCCTAAAGTTCATCATCCACAAATGCGAGGAAGAAAACTTTACTTCAATCTTCAAAGATGACAATTCAAGTCGGAGTCAGAAGATTCGACGCTTATCAGTCCACCATAATCATGCCGGTTTTCCTGCAAACAAACGGTTCGATTGTGTCCGGTCCATTTTCTTGATGAGGTTTGTTGTCCTGAAACTTTTAATTCGGTTATTACTATATATGGCCACAAAATTTCTCACTTGTGTGTTCCATTTTTGCATTCGCAGATTGCTCGGAGCATCAGCTTCTGATTTCAATAACTATCTAAGCAGTATGACGTTGCTAAGAGTGTTTGATTTTCAAGCTGCACCTCTCACAGAGTTCCCCAAGGGGTTCTATGATCTCACACTTGTAAAGTATCTCTGTTTCAGAGGAACCAAAATTAAGACAATTCCAGGTTCGATAAAGAGGCTTTCGCACCTTGAAACATTGGATCTTAAGCAAACTGATGTGGAGGAGCTTCCGAAACAGATTTCTTATTTGCACAAACTCCGGCATCTCTTCTGCTACAAGTATTGTATATCCAACTATATCGCCTTCGAATCAACACAAGGCATTAAGATGCACGGAGGAATCGATAATCTAACAAGTTTACAGGATTTATCACTGGTAAAAGTGGACGAACGTGGTAGAATCCTCAAAGATTTGCAAAAACTGAACCAAATAAGGAAGCTTGGATTGACGAGGCTAAGGGAAAGCCATGGCCTGGATTTATGCACAGCTGTTGAAGGAATGAAGCATCTTCAAACATTGGATGTCTGCACATTCAGTAAGGAAGAATATCTCGAATTGGGATATGTAAGTGTAACCAATGCTCCTCGAATGATCCAACGCTTGTACTTGAAAGGGCGCCTGAGGAGACTGCCGCCATGGATCTCTTCGCTCGATAATCTGCGTAAAGTTGGTCTCATGTGGTCCAAATTGTCCGGCAATCCGTTGCCGGCGCTCGGCCGGTTGCGTAACTTGATGGAGCTTCAGCTGGTCGACTGTTACGTCGGCGAGGAGTTGGCATTCGAGAAGCTGTGGTTCGAGAGGCTAAGGAATTTGGTGATCGAAGAATTGGGGGAAGTCAACACCATTTGTATAGAAGATGGAGCAATGGCTGATCTGAGAAAGCTGTCGCTCCGCAAGTGCCCCCGGCTGACGATGCGTCCCTTAGGAATCGAGAATCTCCGAAAAGTGGAAGAGCTCAATCTGTACGACATGGATGAAAAATTGGTTGCGGGGATTGGGAGGAGAGGCGAGGATTATTACGCTGTTAAACACATACCTGTGGTTAACGTCTTCACTCTCGATACGCGCCATGGCTCATTTAAGAGGAGGTCGATTTGATCACAATCCGTATATTGATGCCCATCATGGTTCGCCGTCAAACGGCGTTGCCGATCAGCCTTTACCTGAGCTGTATATCTGTCGCATATCGGCCTATATGATTTTTTATATAAAATTTATATTTTTTAAAAAAATAATAAATAAATAATTAAAATACATCAAATTATAAATATAATTAATTTAAAAATATATTGAAAAAATATATTATAATTTATAGTAGATTAAAATTTAAAATAAATAATATTTCAATTCAATTAGCACATATATATATATAAATGTTAAATTTTATGTTTTGCATATTGTCATTATACTAATAAATTTATTTTAATAACAAAATGATGTACTTTGTGGCCGTCAATATCTAGATTTCATCTTTATCATCTCTATTATATATAAATAAATAAAAAATTAGAAAAAAAATACCAATAAAATTTTATAAAATGTTCAAACTATTTATACTTACCATTCAATACCATGTGAAATGTCGTGGAGGTTCAAAATCATTTTCATTTGCCGATCGATTAGAGTATGAATATTCTTGTTCTGGATTCATATTGCGTGGATAAGGAGAGATGTTCGAACTATATTGATTTTCTCTAAATGAACCCCTTCCATATACATCAAAACCTCGATATTCCCTATTATCATTGCTTCTGCTTGATGAATCATAATTTTGTCTACGATCATCAATACTACCCGAACCAGATGTAATCCCTCCGTAATATGTTCCAACTGGTTGGTTGGATCCAAATATATGAAGATTGGCTGACTCCTGAAGATGTCTGGGTAGATTAGATAAACCGTATCCTGGGTAATAGGGATTATGATATGCATTTGGCTGGTCCCACTCCTGTCTCCCCAATCTATTACTCGAACTGTGAGAAGAATCTCCATAGGAATAACCTATATTCAAGTCTTGCATATGTTCGTGAACTCCAGAATATCTCTTAGTATCTGAAAAATTTGAAGCATCGGCTTCACTTGAAAATTTTGTTAAACTATTTAGAAAATTTCTTTGAGCTTCTATACCAGGACGATATCCATGATCAGTGTCTTGAGTAGCATAATAATTTTCATTTCCTTGAGTCCATCTCATATCACTTGAGTATCGGCTATCCCAGTAGCTCCCACTACCACCACCACCACCACCACCACCATCATCATCATCATCATCATTGTTATTATTCTTATCTTCACCATTAGTTGATGAAGATGAAGATTCAAATATGATTTTTTTTTCTTGGCCGTATTTATGTTTTCTGATGTTTTCTCTTTCACCTTCTTTTTTCCATCAGCTATAAATTGAGATAAAAACATATCGCTGTCATGATCATTATGCTCACTTTGACCTCCATCTCCACTTTCTTCAATAGCCTCATCCAACCAATTCAAATCACTATCACGAATAAGTGGAGATTCATTTTCTCTGACTCATTCATCTAATAAATCATTTTCATCAAAAATATGATTCAAATCAATTGAGTCATAAAAATCGTCTGTGTCTGTCCTTTACATAAAATGTTTTACCCGAAGACGCATATTGTAGTGGACATAGACTAGCTAATGCAGTTTCTCAATAGCTAATCTATTCCGAAGTTTAGTATGGATCAAAGCCCACGTACTCCAATTCCGCTCACAACCCGATAATGTGCAAGTTTGACTCAAAACTTTTAATGCAATTTTTCTTAAATTAGGGGCTTCATCACCGTACATATTCCACAAGTCAGCTATTAAAAATAAATAGAAAATTATTAATAATGCAACATTTTATAACAAGTATGTTTAAAAATATAATTGATAGTTAGAAATCGCATGCGTTTTATATTCATATCATATGCGATAATTGCGTGATTTTGATTGGATTCTACCTAATTTATATGCGAATTGTTTATTTGCTGTGTGCAGAGGGCAAATATTAAATTTGGCATAATTGACAAAAAAATAAAATAAAATAAAATTAATTAAAGACCCAAAAGCCCATCTACAAAATAATTAGGGCAAACATTAAATAAAAGGAGGGATCACACGTTTCAAAAGAGAGGACGGCTAGGGCAGAAACGCACAGGAGCAGGAGACTGACAGATTCATAGATCGCGCAGGAGCAAATCGACAGAGAAGATTTCCCCCTCCCACTATGACTTCATATTTCTCTTTTGTTCTTTGTTATTTAATTATGGAGTAGATACTTTTCTGGTTTGAGGGGTGATAATGTTTTGGTTCTTTTGTTTTGGAGATTCTTGATTTTCTTTATAAAAGTTCTTTTTGATTATCAATATTCGTCTAATTCTGAGAATAGCGTTTGTGATTGTTAGATTGAGTGAATATTTTGGTACCGATATTTAAATTAGTCTGATAATCTAAAGTCAATTCAAGTAGAATATCCGTAATTGTATTCGCACTTGAATAGGTGACAACCGAGTTGAATAGTTCATTCCCGGGGGTTAGACAATCAAATCTAATTGCTTCTATTAGATAGTAATTATTTTGAATTGGGTTTTTCTAGATTGGAATGCGGTTAGGCAATATTCTTATGGGCACACCTAGGTTTATTTGCTTAATTAGGGGTAGTTAACGGTCGTACCTTAATTACCTACACCGTAAGGAAAAATTGGTTGTCAGAGCTTGTTGATAACTATAACCAATTTATTGATACTTTAATAAGAATTAATTTAATTGAATTAATGATAGAACACAAGTGCCATAACTGCATCATCCCTTGAGCCAGACATCCCCTTATAGTCAGTTCCCCTTTAATTTAATTGCTTTGTTATTTTATTTTAATTAGATAATAAAAGAAAAATCTCCCTTTATTTACTGCATTAGAACACGAAAGAGTGAATCACACAATCCCTGTGGAGACGATCCCTTCCCCTATATTACATTAAATTGTGAACACGGAGTAGGTGAAATATTTGATTGACCGCGCGACAGGTCAATTTTTGGCGCCGTTGCCGGGGATTGGCGCTTTGTTTTACTCTTTTATATTAATTTAATTTATCCTCTTGTTTATGCCCCGTTCTTCTCGTACAGGTGAACTGATATTTAACCTTGAGATCGAGAAGGTTGAGCGAAAGCTACGAAAGGAAGCCAAGCAACGAAAAGCTGCTCAGGTTGCGAAGCTGGCAGAATCTTTAAACCATCTCAAAATCTCCAGCTCTAGCGGCTCTGAAAGTGATCAAGAGACTGTCATGGCTGAGGACACCCGCACTTTAAGGGAGTTGGCTGCTCCCGACTTGGCGCAACAGCCCTTATGCATTAACTTTCCAACTCTGAATAACACTATTGCTTTTGAACTGAAATCTGGATTAATTCATTTATTGCCTTCTTTTCATGGACTTGCAGGTGAAGAACCTCATAAACACTTGCAAGAGTTCGACGTGGTGTGCTCCAGCATGAAACCACCAGGTGTTACTGCGAACAAATCAAACTCAGAGCCTTCACATTCTCACTCAAAGATGCTGCAAAGGATTGGCTCTACTATCTCCCACCTGGAAGCATCGACACGTGGAACGACATGAAGAAGAAATTTTTGGAGAAGTACTTTCCAGCTTCCAGAGCTGCGATCCTGAGGAAGGAGATATGTGGCATCAAGCAACAATCAGGTGAAACGCTTCATGAATATTGGGAGCGATTCAATAAGCTTATCATTAAATGTCCACAACATCAAATTCCCCCTCAATTATTGATTCAATACTTTTATGATGGTTTGTCGTTGATGGACAGGAACATTATCGATGCTGCAAGTGGTGGAGCTTTAGTGAATAAGACGCCGGCACAAGCTTTGGATCTTATTGCGAGGATGGCTGAAAATACGCAGCAATTTGGTTCAAGAGATGTTGGACAGATGAGCGGAAACAACAGAGACCATGCTATCCAATCGATGCAACAACAACTTTCTGAGTTGACGAGCTTTGTTCGCAAGATGGTCGTGGAAAAATCCAACCCGAGTGTCCAAGTCAAGGTGTGTGGAATATGCACGAGTGCAGGACACCCTACAGATGCTTGTCCGACCCTCCAAGAAGAATGTGCAGTGGATGTGAACACTGCAAACTACGGTATGAATAGACCTTCAGCGTACAATCCATACTCCAACACCTACAATCCAGGCTGGAGAGATCATCCGAACTTGCGTTATGGAAACGCACAGCAGGGTAATGCTCATCAACCATTTGGAGCTATGCATCAGATGCAACAACCTCGTTTCTATGAAAAACAGCCGCCTCAAACACCCACAAGCAACTCCAGTCCATCTTTGGAAGACTTGGTGAAGTCTATGGCTACCAGTACCCTGCAATTCCAGCAAGAGATGAAGTCAACTGTCGACAAATTACAAGGTCAGATCAATCAAGTGTCAGAGGAGGTGAAACAACTACGTGAAAGAGGAAAGTGGCCTGCTCAGCCTGAGCCAAATCCAGAAAAGGTCAGCGCTATCACTATCTGCAGTGATACGATGATTGAATGTTCCTCCCGGCCTAATCCAAGGAATACGAGTGCTATAACTCTTCGTAGCGGAAAGGAATTGGAAGGTCCACTTCCTATCTCAAAGGAACAAAATGAGGATCAGATTGAGATGGAGATCGACAAAGAAGCTGAACTTCACGAAAAGGTACTTCCTGACTCTGTTCCTCCTACTGAAACTAAATCAGCTCCTTTTTCCTGACAGGTTGAAGAAACCACAAAAGGCAAACAAACGAAAAGAGATGATGGAAATACTCAAGAAGGTAGAACTTAATATCCCGCTCTTGGAGGCTATCAACCAAATCCCCAAGTACGCAAAGTTTTTGAAAGAACTGTGCACAAACAAAAGGAAATTGCGAGGGGACGAGCATATTATAGCGGGTGAGAACGTTTCTGCTGTTCTCAAAAGAAAGGTACCACCCAAAACCGGTGATCCAGGTATGTTTTCTATCCCTTGTAGGATTGGAAAAACTGAGATAACTAAGGCTATGCTAGATTTAGGAGCTGCTATTAATGTCATGCCTCGATCAATATACGATTCTTGGCCTTTAAAAGAAACATGAATTATTATTCAACTTGCTGATCGAACCAATGCTTACCCTGATGGTATGATAGAAGACGTGCTAGTTCAAGTTAATGACTTAATTTTCCCTGTTGATTTTTATATTCTGGATATGCATGATGCACACTGCTTTAATCCACCGCCTCTTTTTTTAGGAAGACCTTTTATGTGCACTGCAGGAGCAAAAATTGATGTACGGAAGGGCACTCTCGCTTTGGAATTTGATGGAGAAGAAGTCCATTTCAATATTTTTGATGCTATGAAACATCCTATGATTCTGAAACATTATATGCAATTGATATCATTGATCCCTTGGTGCAGGACGCATTTGGATTAAGTGGTTCCGACGAATTGAAGATCGTGTTAATGGAACATCTGGAGAAAGAACATGGGAGAGAGATAGCCATAGAAAAGAGAATAATAAAAGTTCTCAAGGAGCTTAACTCAACTCCAAGAGTGTCACCAAGGTATGAATTAGCTCCAATATTCTTACATAAGTCTAATCAATGTTTATTACCATCTTTGATGCAGGCACCTGAATTGGAATTGAAGCCTTTACCTGAAACTCTAAAGTCTGCTTATTTGGGAGAGAAGAACACTTTACCGGTAATCATCTCTGCAAAATTGACACCAGAACAAGAAGAGAAATTGATTAAGGTTTTAAAAGATCACAAGACCGCCATTGGATGGACGATCGCTGACATAAAAGGTATTGATCCGTCTTTTTGTACTCATAGGATCACACTCGAGGAGGATTCAAAACCAGTGAGACAAGCTCAAAGGAAGTTGAACCCGATTATGACTGAGGTAGTCAAGAAAGAAGTGTTAAAGCTTCTCGAAGCTGGTATCATCTACCCTATCTCCGATAGTAGGTGGGTGAGTCCGGTTCAAGTGGTTCCCAAGAAAGCCGGAGTAACGGTGGAAGAGACTCGAGAAGGAGAAAAGCTCCCGGTTCGAAAACAAGCTGGATGGCGCCAATGCATAGATTACCGTAAGCTGAATGCGGTAACAAAAAAGGATCATTTTCCTCTCCCTTATATTGATCAAATGATTGAACGACTAGCTGGTCGCGCATATTACTGCTTTTTAGATGGATTTTCAGGTTATTTTCAGATAGCGATAACACCCGAGGATTAGGAGAAAACATCATTCACTTGTCCGTTTGGAGTTTTCGCCTACAGAAGGATGCCTTTTGGTTTGTGTAACGCTCCTGCTACATTCCAAAGATGTATGGTAAGTATTTTCTCTGAATATATTGAGCGAATCATTGAAGTTTTTATAGATGACTTTAGTGTATATGGCTCTAGTTTTGATGATTGTCTAGGTAATTTGACTTTAATCTTGAAACGATGCATCGAAACTAACCTTGTGCTCAATTGGGAGAAATGTCAACTGATGGTTCAGCAAGGAATTGTTTTAGGCCATAAGGTGTCACATGAGGGTATAGAAGTAGATAAATCTAAAGTTGAGCTAATCACTGCTTTACCTTACCCTACTTCTATGCGAGAGCTACGTGGTTTTTTAGGACATGCAGGTTTCTACCGGCGCTTCATCAAGGACTTCTCCAAAATTGGAGCACCATTGTTTCACCTCATGCAGAAAGATGTAGCATTTGAGTTCAATGACGATTGCAATAAGGCATTTGGAGCACTGAAAGAGCGTCTCACAACACCACCGATTATTCAACCTCCGAATTGGGACTTGCCATTCGAGTTGATGTGTGACGCAAGCGATAATGCAGTGGGAGCCGTTCTAGGGCAACGAGTTGGGAGAGCCTCTCATGTCATCTACTATGCTTTGCGAGCACTGAATGACGCTCAATTAAATTACTCCACCACGGAGAAAGAGATGCTTGCTATTGTTTTTGCTCTTGATAAATTTAGATCTTATCTTTTAGGCACTAAGGTGTTAGTGTACTCTGACCATGCAGCTCTGCATTACTTGATGGCAAAGAAGGAAGCCAAACCTCGATTAATTCGATGGGTACTCCTTCTGCAAGAGTTTGACATAGAGATTCGAGACAAGAAAGGAACTGAAAATTTGGTAGCTGACCACTTGAGTCGTATACCCGTGGAGTCAGATGCAGTTCCTGTTCGAGAGTCGTTTCCTGACGAACAACTTCTCTCTATTGCGACTACACACCCTTGGTATGCTGATATTGTTAATTACTTAGTCACTAACAAGTTTCCTACAGGTTGGGCAAAGGCAAAAAGGGATAAGCTCCGCAGTGATGCAAAATACTACATTTGGGATGACCCCTACCTTTGGAAGCGGTGCTCTGATCAGATCATTCGAAGGTGCGTTAATGAAAGTGAATTTCATTCTGTTTTGACCTTTTGTCACTCTATGGCATGTGGTGGACACTTTGGATCCAAGAAGACAGCTAGGAAGGTGTTGGATAGTGGACTTTACTGGCCTACTCTCTTCAAGGACGCATTTGAGTTTTGTAAGTCTTGTGATAAATGTCAACGAACAGGTAACCTCTTTCCTCGTAATCAAATGCCTCAATCCCCTATGATGTTTGTCGAAATATTTGATGTGTGGGCTATAGATTTTATGGGACCTTTTCCTAATTCATATGGATGCTTATATATTATCTTGGCTGTTGATTATGTCTCAAAATGGGTGGAAGCAAGAGCCACCCGAACTAATGATTCTAAGGTGGCTGCAGAATTCATTAAGTCATATATCTTCTCTGGATTTGGAGTGCCAAAGGCAATTGTGAGTGACAGAGGGACTCACTTTTGCAACAAAACCGTGGCTGCACTTTTTTCGAAAATATAGAGTGCTTCACAAGGTGTCAACCTCATATCATCCTCAAACGAATGGACAAGCTGAAATCTCCAACCGCGAAGTCAAGTCTATCTTGGAGAAACAGTTCAACCGAACAGAAAAGATTGGAGCTCGAGACTCGATGATGCTCTGTGGGCATATCGAACAGCATACAAGACACCAATAGGGATGTCACCATTTCGATTGGTGTATGGAAAACCTTGCCATTTACCTGTGGAAATTCAACACAAGGCATTTTGGGCAGTGAAAAAGTGCAATATGAATCTTCAAGAAGCCGGAGCCCATCGAAAAATGCAAATTCAAGAGCTCGAGGAGATTCGACAAGAGGCATACGAGAATGCGATACTCTACAAGGAAAAGACAAAAGCCTTTCATGATCATCACATCTCCAGAAAAAATTTTGAGATAGGACAGAAAGTCTTATTATATCACTCTCGTCTTAAGCTTTTCCCTGGAAAGCTGCGGTCTAGGTGGATAGGGCCCTTTATCGTTACTAAACTTTTTCCTTATGGTGCAGTGGAGATTCAGAGCTTAAGGACGGAGAAAAAGTTTGTGGTCAATGGACATCGTCTTAAGTCATATTACGAGGGATTCCCACTTGAATCTGTAGAGTTGGTGTCTCTCGCCGATATCGAAGTTGAGGACTGAGACGCAACATAGTCTAGCTCAAAGACTATAAAGAAAAGCGCTTTTTGGGAGACAACCCAAAATCATTTAATTGCTTTCTTTAATTTTATTAATTTTTATTATTTAATTGCTAATAACACTTTTGATAGTTTTGTTTGGTTTAGTCGCCGCCTCCAACCTCCGGCGCCGTCGACTTCTTCCTTCCCTGCTCAGTCATCGTCGATCACCACGTCCGCTCCTCTAAATGGCTTGCGTTGGTTAGTTGTTTTCGCATGACTCAGGAGAACTTCAAGCCTCCCTAAAAATCACGATCAAATGAAGAGATGTTAACAAAGCTCCCAACTACTACACCCCCTATGGACTCGAGGGAAGTTCCTCTCTTCTTTTATTGCTTTCTTTACATTGAGGACAATGTATACTTTAGGTGTGGGGAGAGTTATGCAAATTTTTGGGCAAAATTTTCAATTTTTTTTTGCTACTTTTTATACCTGATTTGCTGTCCTTTCGCGTGTTTTTGAGATTTGTCTGAACTGAGTCAAAGGTGGTTTGTGTGATAGGTTTGTCTAGCATGACTAATGAGATTTGATTGGTGATATATTGAGTCAAGTCGACGTTTGAACCCTGTGAGAATTTGAGCCTATGTTCCAAAGTTACAGTAGAAAATAAATTGCATATATTCAAGCTTTTGGAAAAAAATTTTCATGTGTGATTTGTAGTGCTCAATTAGATGACCTAGAACTTGAGTGATTATGCATGTTGAACTTGCAACTATCGGGTCTTGCGTTTTGAAAATGATAAGGGCATTAGGTAACCCATTAAGCCTTTCTTTATTACCCAGCACAATATATTCCCCTAGTTAGCCCATTTGAGCCTTCTTAGCCTATTTTTTCTTTTATAATAAACTGTTTTTTTAGCCTCATACCCTTCTTTCGATTGAGCCTTCTCCGATTTGAACCCTATGTTAGAAAGAATTACTTTAAGTCCATGTTGTGATGCACTTTATTTCTTTGGCACTAGTTAGAAATGAACTTTGGGTACGAATAAGTCATAGTATGAAGGAATAACTGTGGGTAGTGTAGGTATATATATATAGGCAAAAGCCAAAAAAAAAAAAAAATCAAAAATCAAAAAAATAATAAATAAATAAATAAAAAATTTAAAAAAAATGACAAAAAAATAAATAAATAATTATCTTAATAAAGTATTTTCATTTATTTTCA